GTCCAACCTCCCACTACTGCGAGCACTGGGCGCCAACGATGGTCGAGTTTTTAATGTCGAAAAAAAATTCTTAAGCCTCGACGACAATGACGCTGGCTTGGAGGGCCTACGGGTTAGGCCTAAGAGGTTGCAATGGTGGTCGCTAGGCCTTATCACCGCCATCGCCACCTCATATCAACCACTAAGGAAATTGAAACCCTCTGGATAGATCTATAATCAAGATTCTTTTTCTTTTATAAAATGCAGAATATTTTGGAAAATGTTTTTTAAATCAGAAAAATAGTTAATTATCTAAAAAGTTTTGGGAAAATTTTAGAAAAATATTTTTATTTTTTATCTTCAGATATTTGGGAAATTTCTGATATAGCCCACTAGATTTCATAATAACAAGTTTTTGGAATTTCATAAAAATAATTGTTTAACTTTGAAAGTTCAGAACAATTATTTGTATACACGAAAAATAATATTTATAAAATCCTAATAATACAAATAATTTTGGAGATTTTTATGGGTAGCTGTGCTAGTGGGAGTACTTGGGGCATGTACCACTTGCATAATAAACAAAAAACCTAAATAAAATTGACAAGATATAGGTAGTTAAATATTAAAAAATTAAAATTCTTTCTTTTGTTTGTCATGTCACATGTTCAAACTCATTTTGAAATACATAAACAAATGATTTCAAGTGGAAGACTTTTTTATGGAGACGGAACTATAATTTAGCTACCCAATCAAATATATCTCTAAGAAATCTAATATTCTATTTTCGAAAATTTTATAAGGATTTTAAAAATTATATCTTTGAACACCATGGTTGGGCCCTGGGCCATCTTCTCTTTGTTTGGGTTGTAATTTTATAACTGGTATAAAAGGCTTGATGAGATAGATTGTTCTTCAGGGAAGAGCATTATTCCACATAAATGCTAGTAATCTTAATGCATATGTAATTAGGGGCGAATGCAGAAACTTTAGTCAGTGGCCGCAAAAACTACAAATATAACTAGTATATAAACAAATAAGACTAACCCAATTATTTTTCTATGTTTTGTTCCTTTTTTAGTTCTTAATTTATTTTGGTTATGAAAATTAATTTGGTCGCCCAACTTATTATTCAAATCATCTTCATCATGCCTTTTCATCAATTAACTGGCTGCGGTTTATTTCTAGAAGGGATTTTTCGATATTAGTCTGTTAAATATTTTATATTTGAAATTAGTCCTCAAATCAAAAGTCAACTGGAAATTAGTCCCTCAAATTTTTGAAATTGCATTAGATCCCTGATTCTTGAGTTGTTTCCAAATTAGTCCCTCCAATCGAGAGATAAGTAGAAATCTAAGGGATTAGTTTGAGACAACCTATAAAAATTGGGGACATTATAATAATAATAGTTTTACTTGTTAATCCCTTCAATTGCTACTTTACCTCTTGATTGGAGGGATCAATTTTAAAATAACTTAAGAATTAGAGGATAATTACAATTTTAATGCTTTGAGGGACTAATTTTAAATTAACTTAAGAATAGAGAGACATAATAGCAATTGTAATGATTTGAGGGACTCATTTCAAAATGTGAAAACTTCAAGGGACTAATATTAAAAAATCCCTTTATACTGCCACTTTTATCAAAACAGCAACCAACATTCTTCAAGGCCCGTCATGTGATTTTTTTTTAATCCCATTGATATTCAGAAAAAAAATGATCACAGGTAATTTGTATATATGAGTGCTATGCAAAAAGATGATCGAAGATCCACACTCGCATCAAATCCACACAAAAAGAGAGTCGAGAAAACGATGGTTGAAGACCCACATTGGAAATTTGAAAATTCTTTGATCATGAAAGTTATTTGATGAATGACTTAGAACTTGTTTTTTGCGAAGTAGCTTTGTTTTAGGGGAAGCTTAGTAAACCTTTATTTCACATTTCATGTATGCATACACATAGGAAGAGCTTGCATATCCTCCTTCATATGTCATTAAACTGAAAATGTGCATATTTCATGTATCTCAAACATCCACATTTTAATTTCAAGTTTTCGAGTTTGTTATCATAAAAAGGGAGAGATTTCTAGGATCATGTTTGTATAATTGCCTTAGTTTGACAATACTAAACATTCATTTGGTTCTAATATGTATTTGAGATGATTTGTGTAGGTCACAAGTTAGAATCAAGTTTGAAGACAATTGGGGTGAGAATCAGTTCACAATCTGTGCATATGCTCATCCGATCAGAAGGAGTTGCTCATTGATGAGTATGTTTCCAGTCACATCGATTGTAATTCGTCAACGAAGAGAAAAAAGTCCAGAGATTTTTTATCAAAGATACTCATCGATGAGAAGGAGGTGCTCATCGATGCGCTTGATACATCGATGAAATGGTCAGCTTATCGCAATTACAGAAACTTTTTCATCAATGATATGCATCGATGAGAACACTTGCTCATCGACGAGGCATCGAGCATGCATCCTCGTCTCATCATTGAGGTTGGAGTTGTCAGGTTAATTTCAAGTTTTTAATCAGAACCGTTCATTGCAGCAGACATAGTTTCTTTCCTCTCGTTTTTCAGTGTTAGAGAAGACCTAGTCGAGAGTTGGTGTAGACAATCTCATCTCCATCTCCCTCAGGCTTCTCAAATCACAATTGTGAAGTGTGCTACATCATCAGAATCAATCCCACTGCGATTGCTGCCCACACTGTTCTTCATCGAGCTTTGCTTCTCTCCTTCGAAGAATGGTTTGTCTAACAAGAGGGCTATATGATCTTTCCATTTTGCGCCTAATTGATATTTCGATATTTTGCTTTAATATTGTTTCTACAATCTATTGATTGGTTGTGTGATTTTGACGGCATACTCAAGCCGGGATGTTATTGAGGTTCTATGACTAGCTAGGGCTAGGATTACTCAACATGGTAGTCAGGCTAGACGACTAGTTTTGGAGAAACTAGGATTCCAGCCTTGTAAGCCTATAGAAATTGGGTCTGCAAATCCGGGGATAAGATTGCATCTCATGTTAGTTATAAAAAAAACATGCCTTAGCTGGGTTCCATAATCATGTGATAGGTTCATATTTAGAAAAACTGAAGAAGACAGCTAATTCATTATTCGGGACATAATACGTGTAAAATAGAAACTAAAGGCCTGAAATCTGCAAAATACGCATCATGCCTTACCTCTCGAACAATGTTTTTGCCATGCCATATAGGTAGCATCCCTGTTAATAATTCAAGAAACACAACACCAAGGCTATAGACATCGCTTTTGTCTGTCAGTTTGTGGGTTAGGAAGTATTCTGGATCTAGATAACCCTGCAGAAGACATATTACCGTCATTCTCAGAATGTTTCATAAAAATATATCTTGCAACTTTGGGGATGGGGAAAGAAGACTTGCTAACAACTAAAGATTAAAGAATAAGAACAAAGACTCTAATATCATATAGACTTGTAGTCACTACAGCAGACTGATCTTCCTATTATTTCTTATGGAAAAAAGGAATACAATGTGCAGTTAGAATTAGACATTATTATTCCGTTGCAGCTCAGGAAAAAAAATCCAACTGATAACATTAAGCTGAATAACAAGAAGTCAAACCTCTAGGCCCCTGCACCGCTTTCGGTCTTTCTGAACAGAACGAAGAAAGACCCAAAAAAAAGGGAAATTTACATTTATCCACGTTTAAACTTTACCTCAATAACATGTCCAACCAACAGTTTCTTTTTAACACCTTGACCCCATAGGCTGGATGACAATCATACGGTGTTATTATCGAGACAAAAAGACACTTTTATCCATACATATAATCCAATATAATTGCAATATCAGGAGTAACAATTAGAAATTATTTTTAACTCACCTAAACATATTAATTAATTATCTTTTTTCTTCGAATAAGTTTACTATGGAAACATATTTATCACAACTTTAGTGTTTTCTCTCCATTCTCCTAACACTAAACCTCATAAAGATTTAAACATCAAAACCCTGAATTCTGAAGATGAAATTAAATATTCAAAATTTTAAACCAAATAACATTAGTTATTTGAACTCCAAATTCAATTCTAAAGTGG